GGGACCACCAAAAGTTCAGAAGGAATGTTCCAGAGGGCTTTGGGGTCCACACAGTCTTCAATATTTCCAAAGTCTACAAGTCTGACGGATACAAGATAATCATCACAAATACTGGTGATAAGTGCCCGATAATAATGTCCATCTTCTCTATATCTCACTATGCAAGGATCTCCAATATGAGGGCATGGGACACAGCTTCGCCTATCTGTTACCTGTTCTCCAGCAGTTTGTACTTCTACTTCTAAATACTGAAGTTTCTCAGTATCGGCAAACTGACACCAAAAATACTCCGGTCCATCTATCACAGTGGCATAAGCCCTTACCATCTTCATCTTTGGATTATACCAGTTAAGAAACAGTGAAGTGTCAATGTCAGTTTTGTTTACAGACTTGGAGCAGGCACTTTTAATTATTTGATTAGAAAGTCCTACTTGAGATTTTTCACTGAAAGCATATCTGCTAATCATATCTTCTGCGATGATCCCATGTTCATCCACAAGAATAACTTCCCATCTGCCTTGAAATTTAACAAATTCACATCTTATTTGAACCTCATCTGTCCTTTGAGAAAAGTAATGCATCATTTCCTTACATTTTAAAATCTCAGGGACCCAAAGTCCCCTCAAGGAGCAGTGAATGCACAATCCTGGTAACAGTGCATTCATAAGGTCAAGCTTACCTACCTTGTTAGTATGAACCATAGAAACATTGCCATAATCTATAAATTGTACAGAGAGAAGGTCATTGGGTTGCTGTTCCTTGACCACAGCTCGATACCATAAACTGTCTTCCGGAAAAATGGCACATATTACATCTCCTCTCTGCAAAGGTGGACCTGAATAATATTCTGGCCTCGTTCTAGCATCATTTAACCTCTCTGAAAGATGAGTGATTTCAGCTTCATCTTCTGTTAATTGAACATAAAAGTCTGAAAGGTCATTTATATGAGAAACATACACAGCTGTTTTAAAGCCAGGCATTATAATCTTCTGAGGGAAGTCAGAAAATTTTAAAGGCAAATCTTTGTTATATAAATCTCCTATGTTTCTCTCTGAAGGAGTAGCTTCTAGTTTTGTCGCTTTCAAAGGTAGCTCAGCAAAACTTTCTTCTTTCTTTTCTGGTGTTAGGGGACACACTTGATTACCTTGATTTCCCACAGAGTCCTGATACTGAGTGACTATGTCTGTCTTTGTTGAACTTCGTAAAATCTTGGTTTCCTTACATGCTGAGGTGACCTTAGATTTGTAGGATGCTCCCAATATCTCCATACTACGTAATTTGTTTTCTACTGATTTACTTATGTACTCTGTAGGCAACAACTTCATATTTTGCTTCTTTATTTCAAGAGTTTCAGTTGCAGCAAGGAGTGCTTCACTTTCTTTTTTTTTTGTCCCACCTTTGTAGCCGAGTAGCCCTAACTTCTCATTAATGTTAGCATTAATTTGAATACGGTCATCATATAGTTCTATAATCAGTCTTCCATCTGGATCTTTTGCTACAACCAAAGCCTTCAATGACTTATCTAAAATAGTCTCCTGAAACCATGTTGTAATTTCTTCTGGTATATGGTCAGGAATATCAGATAATGAACATTTAACAGCTTGCATGGGCAAAAGTAAGACATCATATGCATCACTAGGTATTGGAAGCAGATCCTCGTTTGTTACCACACAAATGTTTCCAAAATCCACAAAAAAGACTTTATTTCGTTCTTTTTCTATTATTATCCCCCTATACCAGTTTCCATCAGTATACTTGGCAAGGCACAAGGTTCCAGGGATCAAGGGAGGTGTTTTTAAATTCAGCAAAACTTTACTTAATTGTGTAATATTACAGGACAACTGTTCTAAAATACTCGCATTTCTTCCCAGTTGGCAATAAAATGTCCAAGGGTCATCAACATGTGTTACATACACGGATTCTTCACTTCCAATTTTCATATCGTGTGTCGAATAGTAGAAAGAATGTAACTGAACAGAGGCCTCCAGAGGTTTCTGAAGTTTAACTGGTCTTGCGAGTCTCTTTTCTACCAAAAAATGGCATGCGCTCTGAAAGGGTGTGAGCAAATCCACAACATTAAACAGTTCTTCATCTTGTACTGAAGCCAAAGCAAATATTGTGCATTTTAATTCGAGATTCTCTTCCCATGCATTGCCAACAAACTCACTAAAAGCCTGTATTGCCTTTTCATCCCAAGCAAAAGGATTTTGACCAGTTGGTTGAATTAAATTATAAAGACTGCACCGAAAAGCCTGAGCCTTAACTTTGAGAAATTCTTCACTAATTGAGTAAATATTCTTCACAGATACCATTTCTTTGTCTCCATAATCTATGAACATTACTTTGACATGCTCTGCAGATTGTGCCCTGCTAATCACAGCCCTGGACCATTTTCCATTTACTGTTCGTTTTGCCAAACAAGCGGGGGTGGTCCCCTGGTAAGGAGTAGCTGTGTTCTTGCAGTAGTCCTGGATATTACACATCAAAGTTTTAAATCCTTGAATGTTCCTGGTCAGCTGACACCAGAAGTAGCCAGGGTTTTCAACATAAGACACTTTGACTTCTACTGTACTTCCAACTTTCAGCTCTCCTTTACAAGAAGAGCCTGGCTTAATTTCCAAGAAATTCTGTGTAAGAGAAGAATAAACAGATACTCTTTTCTCTTTTTCCTGCACAACTAGTCCAGTTGGAATATCTGTAATGACTGTTGTATCAGCCAAAATTTCTGAAACAGATGTAGTTTTATTGTCGCTCTTGGCTTTCTGTTCTACTTCTACCTTTTTGGCAGGAGATATTTTATCATTCTCAGCAGTAAAATGGCTTGAAACATGCCCTGGAGAGTGGACATTTCTGGGAATATTTTCCTTTGTTTCAAATTCCTGATACTTGGCATACCCAGCTTGAGCAATTACCTTACTAATGTTTTCTTCCCCTGTTCTTGATTCATCAAGAATCTCAATAACATATTGATTATCCTGCTTATCAAGGACATGGATAACTAATTCTTTGTGGAGTACGGTCTTTTTAAAAAAGGAAACTGCCTCCTGGCTCCAATTTTTCCCCAAAGGCCAAATATCTGCTAGTGTGCACCTGAGAGCCAATATGGGTAGCCGCCTAAACTGGGGAAGCAACATCTTCACGTCATACCAATCCACATTTTCCAAACTGCCACGGTCAACTAGAAACACATCCACACTCTTGTCATCTAATCTGGTGACCATAGCCCGATAATAGCCGTTTTCTTTCCATTTGACACAGCAAAGGTCATCGGGTTTGGGTTTCAAAACTATGCCATCCAGCTTACTGGCTGAGGAATAGAAACTGCACATTCTTCTCATCAACTTGCTGAAAGTGCCTTTGTGTTTCCTCAGCCTAATCCAAAACTTGGAAGGATTTTTCACAAACTCCACCTGGGCATCATAGAAGGCGTTTATCTTTAACCTGATAGATCTTAAGGCCGGGAGTGAAATCTCTTCATCCACTTCTTCAGCAGGAGACTGAGACTGAAAAGCTGTTTCTTGTTCTTCCTCCTCCTCCTCCACTCCCTGGCTCTGAAGGAACCGGTCGGCCAAGCAACAGGACTGGACTCCAAAGACACAATTCAGATTGATCCCATCTTCTCCATACAGGGTGACATAATAAACGTGCTCAAAGGAACAGTAAAATTCAATCTTTGCATTCACTGCCTGGCCCAGTATCAGGGCCTTCAGGTCACCGACCTGTGACCGAGACCAGCCTCGCCCACCGTCCCAGAGTCCATACAAAGCACAAGGGTAGGTCACCACGGGCATTCGGAAGTACGCAGGCAGCAAGTAGCGGAGGCTACTACAACTCACTAACTCCTTCCTTCCATAGTCTACGTGGAGCACTTGGGCACAGCGCTGGGGCCGAAAAGTCTCAAGCAAGAGCGCTCTGTACCAATGTCCATCCAACCCACAGGATGCACACGGAGAGCCAGGCTTGTCTGGGCTCTCCTCCCTCTCCTCCCAGGTGGCAGTGGTAGAGTTCTCATCCCCCGTCCCCGGGAAACCCCGGTAGATCTGGGCCATGCTCTCGGACAGGCGGTGGATCTCCTGCGAGAGGCTCCGGAGCTGGCAGTGAATGCGGTGGGGGTGGCACACCTGGGTCACCACCACGGGCTCCGTCACGCCCAGCTGCAGCTGCGGGTAGAAGTAATCCAGGCCAGGCTGCTCCTGCTTGGGAGGGACGCGCGGGAGGGCTGGGGCCCCGGAGCCCATGCTGACGGTGGCCGCCGTTAGGTAGCGCTTGAGCAGCGAGCGGAAGAGGCGGTCGGGCACCTGCCGCGCCAGGCCGAGCTCCTGCATCTGCTGGAACAGCCTGGGCACCTCCAGAAGGACCAGGCGATGGAGCAGCAGCACGTCCAGCACCCGCCCGTGCACCTGCTTGCCCTGCAGGCTGCTGAGGAAGTCCACGGCACTAGACGGCCAGTGCTGGGGCTCGCCCCCACCTCCGCCGCCGCCGGCCGCCGGCCCTAGGCCGGCCAGCACGCAGCCCAGCACCTCGGACGGCAGGTGGAAGAAGTCGCTGCGCCCTGGCGCCAACGAGTCCGCGCCCGCCGTGATGGTGCGGCCCTCGTCGAGCAGGAAGACGCGGCTCTCCTGCGCTTGCTGGCTGACCACGCGGCAGCGGTGCCACATGAGCCCCACCTGCACCAGGCACAGCTCGCCCGGTGAGGCCGAGGCGCCGCCCAGCGCCCACGGGCCGCGCGTGGCCGCCGCTTCCTGAATCTCCCGGCTCAGCCGCACGTACTCCTCCCGCCGCTGGCCCACCAGCCCCCAGAGCTGCACGGGGATCACCTCAGGGTGCACGTCCACGAACGACACCCGCAGGACCAACGAGGCGCCCGGCGTGGGCAGCCCGGGCGTGGAGCACATCTCCGAGGCGCGGCGCTGCCGTCGACCCCCGAGCGGTCAGGGCGGCGCGTCCGGCCCGCCCACGCCCACGCCCCCGCGCCCGCTGGATAGCCCCGCAGACCCAGGCTCAAGGCACAGAGGGACCGGGAGAGACGCCTGGCGAGGCGTCCCCTCGGCGACTCGCCCGACGCCGCGCTCCCCGGACTCGCGCCGACTGGTAAGACCGGCGGCGGGACCAACCGCCCACGGTCGCGCCGCGCAGGCATTTGCTGCGCGCGGCGCCCGGCTTCCGGGCGTGGGCGGTGCGGGGACCGGCGGCAGCCGGAAGCGGGTTGAGCCGCCCTCTCGGAGCGCTGCCTGCACTTCCGGGGGCCTCAAGCCGGGCTCTAG